ACACACACGCACACACACACACACACACACACACACACACACACACACACACACACACACACACACACACACACACACACACACACACACACACACACACACACACACACACACACACACTTGCGCGCGCAAGCACGAGATCAGAGCTGTAACATTGCAATCAAACCAAAGCTGTCATCGCGATCGAACGTATGGAGAGCCGCTCACCCACTATACCCTACGGCGGACGGACTGTCCACCTGCAGCCTGGCCAGGTGTCACCTTTCAGCCGTGCTTTACACACACGAGAGAGCACTTGGAAAGAGACCCTCAACACAATGTGCCAGAGTCCAAGAACGCTGCACGCTCCATATTGCCAGCGCGAATGGAGAGTTAACTAGAGCTGTCATGATTTATCCGTGCATTCGATGTACGCTATGCCTCTGGCATCTGACGGGATTCTGTTAATAGGAAAGAGCATCGAGCAAAAAAAAATCGAAGAAAGTGACATACGATCCCGGCCCTTGAGGTGACCACTAGAGACCGAAAGCCGAAACCATACACAGATGAATCTCCTATTTTGGTTTTGCCTATTTTGCATAATCCGGCTCCAGTATCCCTGAAGGCCCTGTCAGACGTCCCTTTTCTCCTCTTCTCCTGCTCGTCACACTGTGCTCTAGCTTGGCTTCTCCCGGCTCCACACGATAGCTACCCTGGCCTTCCTGACCTGTTTTAGATCCCATAGTCGGCACGCGCACCTCTCCAGGTTCTGTCCGTGCCCCCGCTGTGCCTCTGTCTGTCATTTCGTGCCCCTCCCCATGTGCCGCTTCGGCTGTGCACCTCCTCCCGTGCGCCACCTCGTGGTCGGATCAGGTGCCTGGCACGCCTCCCCGACCTCGGTGAATTAATTTCGGCGCCGGTCGGCAGCGGCGGAGCACCGGCGTCTGAGCAGCGGATTTAGGGCTTAATAATGATGCCGGTAGAGTTGCCGAGCTGATGGGAAGTGCAGTGGAGGGTGCTGCCGGCGAAGCCCGTCTGGCCAGCCGGGCGAATATATCGAGGTCAAGGGAAGTAGAATGAAGGTGAGGCAGGCGTTTGTTGCCTGTTGGTTAAGCTTTAGGTAAATCGACACTTCCACTCGAGCTGTTAGGAGATGAGTAGTCGATCGGTGAGAGTCGATCGGTGAAAGGAGGGGGAGGTGCTACAGATAATACTAAATTTAAATGCGGTGAATACAGTTTGTGATGGGATCATGATGCAGAACATTGCGTGAAGCCAAGACTGCGGTGAGAAACAATGTGTTGACACCCAAAAAGTGTATGGGAAAATCGTTTTAGCCAAAGTGGCTTAAGCCCATGCATGACCACAGAGTAAAGGGTCACAAAACATCACATCTCACAACATTTCAAGAAATCTAGAGACCTCATAGTACCGTATTCACACTTATGGGGATTGTCCATGGCTATCGCAAGCAGACGACGTTATTACGACAATGTGGATTGCTTTGTCGTTTCAGAATGGGATTATCCGCGCTAGAAATTCGCTGACAACAAAACAGTGATGTCTGGGATTTCAGTTGTTGCACCCTGAAAGCTATTAATTCAGATCGTGCAAAAAACACGGAAGGAATAGTTAATGTTGTGTTGATCAGCTAAGGAAATCATGTTGATGAGAGAATGGCAATGCGAAGTACGGCACTTATTAGTGATGACCAAATACAGTTCACTCATACATTAAAATCCGAATAATTTTTCTAGTTCAGTTACATTCAGATGCAGGCCTCATCACACTTTAAAACCTAACCTAACCTAACCTATCCTAACCTAACCTAACCTAGCCTGAAGTATTTTGCCCCTCCCTTTCTCCGTCCATATCCGAGTCACTCACAGCGCCCTTCCTCACCAACTTGCCCGCCATCTACCGGCGACACCTGGGACCACACGGGTCCTCCAGGGCGGGCGGACGGGGCGGACGCCGGGCGGGCACAAATACTCCACCTTTAGTGAACTGTAAAGGTTAAACCGTGACCCAGATAAGGCCTCACGCCGGCAATGGTGCCGCGACCCATGACGAGTGGGAGATAAGGCCGGCGGCCGGCGGTCGGAGCCAGCGGAAAATTGAGTTACGCGCGGTGCGTGCTCGGGGCGGCGAGCAGGTTCCCGCCAGGTCACTGGGGACCTGGCAACTGACCGGAGGTTGGCATCGCGCCGGACAGCACCAGCGGCTGTCCAGCCCGGCTGGCGGTGCGACCTCAGCCGCAGACGCCGGCGAGCGGTCCGGCGATGCACCGGGTCAGAAGGCAGGCGAGAACACACGCCGAGCGAGGAGTGATTTGGTCGGCCTTACCGAATGCACGTTGATTGATTTGATAAATGCTCTGCGATTTTTGTGTAAGTCGATCTTTGAAACTAATCTCTTATGGAGGTAGCACCAAAAGAGGGCTGCAAATCGTCACCACAGAGCTGCACTGCGCTGCTTGTGGCCCTTTGTTCCGCGCAAACTCTGGTGTCGGGGCAGTTGGGCTGCTGGTAACTGCTCTGGCATTGGCAGTCTGGCAAGCGGTTTGTGAAACCGCAGTCTGCTCCAATCTGGAACTGGCATGACGTCATCGCTCTTGCGTCACTGCAGTCAGATGCCTTCTTAACGAGATAGTGGCGCGATTCGGTCGGAGCACGTGTGGGGAGGAGATCACTGATTTTCTCTAGCGACGCTTGGATGTCCGTGCGCCCTTTTGGGAGAACATGTCTTTTCTGGAAATGCTGGGTACCTGTGCGGTATGCTCAGAAGCATGTCATAAGCCGTCGGGAAGAGTGGACAAGTGTAGCTGATTGGTCCGTGTAGCATATGGCCTCATGCAATGTGCAATGGGTACGTTGGTTGTCCTTTAATGAAACATCCTTGCTTAAAAGCGGACGTAGCATTTTAAACGTAATCTGCAGGTTTGAAGGCAAAGTTTCCTGGGATTGAAGACGAAATGCTGAATTCGCGAATCAGCGAACGTGTTTGCCGCACTACATTGGTCTTAACATGTTTCGAAGTAAGTATAAACGTAAAACCAAGTAGGATCGCCGTACAAAACCCAATAAAAATCCCGATTGTAAAACCGTGGTATCGGCTTGATCACGGCAAATGTAGCTGTTAATACTTTGGAGATGTCACCCATTTGTTCATCTTGCTGACAGTAAGCACTTCACCAAACAATGCTGTCTTGGATGCGGGCGCCGTCAAGATTGTATATCTGAAGGTAGCTTACCGATGCCCTTGGGCAGAACCTGGTGCTACAGGGACTTGGAGACAAACGGTGTGTCATGTTCTTATGTTATGCCATGGTGATGTTAATCACCTCCTTTCCTCCCCCCCCCCCTCCCACCTCTTCTCAATGGTGACGCTTACGCTCAAACGGCTGCAAGCCTTCAGTGTCATCGTTTTGTTTGCCACGTGTTGCCTTTTAAACAGCTCAGACATAAGAGCTTTGAAATTCGAGTGCCTCGCTTCTCCGAGGAAGTTATGCCTTTCCTTATCTCCACGGAGGCCGCCCAAGCCGTGTCGCGGGCACAGACGAACCCGGGGCGGGACCGGCGGGCCGATGCCGGTCCTGAATCGGCGCAAAGCCGGCGCCTCGGGCCCGGTCGTTCCACCATTAGCGGTCTGATGGATGGCTAACTGGTGCCGGTGCTGAATGGGGCCCGGCGCAGAATGGTCCGGGCACTATCAGCATCGCTTCCGAGGGCGGGGCTCGGCAGGGTGGCTGTCGTCGGCTCGTGGCGTGGCCGGCCCCCCGGGGACGGCGCGCCGCCTCGGCCGCGTTCTGGGTCATTGTCTGGCCTGTCTGCGGCCGCCTGCGGCGTCCCCGGGGCGCCTGGCTGTTTGAGCCCGTGGTCTAGGCCCGCCGGCGGGCTGGGCCACCGGCGGGGGCTCATCTGGCGTGGTCGCCGGCCATCTCGGCCGGGCGGCGGCGTGGCCAGCGTGGACGCCAGCACTCGGGCGGGGCGGAGACCACTGGTGCTGGCAAACGCAGTGACGCCGCTGGCACTGCACCGGGCTGATATGGCAGTAATGTCGTGGAAGGTCCCCCTGTACTTGCAGCGTTTACTGCAGGGTATGCATCTGATCTGCCTGACATCACGCCTTCATTCAGCCATAAGGCACATCAGCTACCGGTCCAGCAATAGAGCGGTGACGTTTTCACACACCGTCACTTACCCCCGGCTGATAAATCACATTACGGTAATCGCAGCACGCATAGCACTTCACGTGTCTGGTGTAGCGCTGGACACACTCGGCACATTCGGCCCCGTGCATGCATTTTGGATCGCAAAGGGAAATAGTCTGCGTGAAAATATCACGAAACCTCGGTTTGAGAACTTCTTATTTTCTATGGTTTCAAAATTTAAAAGGAAATGCATTGTCTTTGAGAAACACAATGTAGTGGAAGAGATGAAACACAAGGGCCATTAAAATGAAAGGGACGGATTAACTTAAAGTGGTACGCAATTTTCATTGACCTTAAGGAGCGCTTACAGTTAACAGATGGAATATTAATTTACCATTAGAAGCATATAATGATGAAATACACTTGGCTGCTGACGCCAGGCGATCTTGTTGACACTGTAGCAGAACTAATGACTTACAAATGAAGATAGCTAATTGGTAACTGCAAGCTAATCATCAGCCAGCTCAGCGATGTATTATGGATGACACAGCTCGTTAACATCGTTGAAATAGCTGGTGTCCGACAGACAACCATGCATCTTAAAGCCCCACGTGACCTGTGATTCCCACGGCCTTCCGACTCAGTTCGGTTTCTGAGCTCCAGCCCAGAACGAATTCGTTCCCAATGGGGACTTCCAGCTCGCTTTCACCAGCGAAGCAATGCGACCTGCGGACTTACTGCGGCTCTTGACTTACTCTGGGTGACTGTTGATCGACGTGACTCCCGACTCAGCGAAACTACTGAGTCAGTGCACATTCTGGTAGCGTGACCCGAGTCGTTAACGTGGTGTCTCTGTTTTTTTTCACAGATTCTATAGCGGAGCTCTGCAAGCACCACTTCTTGCAGACGCTGAACCACATTATCGATGGTGCGACGCTCTATTCGAGGAACGAGCGAAACCTGGACTGCAAGCTGACCTTCCAGGTGAGCCCACAGGCGCAGGTGGCGTCGGAACTCCCACAGACCCGCTGCAGGGAGGGTGGTGGACCGGGCCGTGCGTTTAGATGGGACGGACGCAGCTGACACCGGAACTCCCACAGACCCACTGCAGGGAAGGTGGTGGACCGGGCCGTGCGTTTAGGTGAGACGGACGCAGCTGACGCCGGAACTCCCATAGACCCACTGCAGAGAAGGTGGTGGTATGGGCCGTGCGTTTAGATGGGACAGGACGCAGCTGACACCGGAACTCCCACAGACCCGCTGCAGGGAGGGTGGTGGACCGGGCCGTGCGTTTAGATGGGACGGACGCAGCTGACACCGGAACTTCCACAGACCCACTGGGGGAGGGCGGAGGGGGAGGGGGGAGGACCAAGCGGCACGTTTCAATGGGAGATTATGTTCGGAAAGCTCCTTGGTGAATGAAGTAAGCCGTCAAATGAACTTGGCCTGCCAGAAAAGCTGTATTTTATATACAAAAAGAACAGCACATTGAAAAACAGCCAGTGTCTCAACTCGAACAATCTAAGCTAAAGTTGTTGCGGATATATACCTACGTTGTTATCATTTTGCTTCGAACATAACGCTATGGACCAAAGCACTACCAAATGAGAGTACCGGTACAGAATAGTGGGCTTCCATTGCTAGTCCACCGCTAGTCCATGCTAGGGCCAACACCTTGCAGAATTCCTGTGGGGGAGAAAACTTCCGAGCAGAAAGAAAGATGCCAAAAAAATCACGAAAGTGTGTCATAAATTCATGCATATGAAGGCTACAAACAATGCAACCGCGGGCCCAATCACTCTCAGCTCCTGGTTTTTACTCTGGCAGGTAACATAATGCAATAATCGTTCTGTGCATCATCCGGCAAAACTGGCGACAAATTAATGTGCATTAAAAACATCATAGTAATGATGCTCAACATGTCTAGCGGGACCCACAATCCTTCAGTTCTAATGCACGACGCCACTGTAGGACCACGGGCCTCCCCCCCCCCCCCCGTTCCGCCTGGCCGGGGAGGGGCGGCGGACGTCGCCGCCGGGCCTTACGCCGACTGACACGGCCCACCGGCGACCTGCTGACCTTTCCAGCAGCGATAAGCTATGGCGCCACTAATGAAGACAACGGTCACAGGCGGGTCACGATTTGTTTGAGCGGCGGCGGCGAACGCGCCGGCTCGCCGGCCGGATGGCCCCCCGCGCAGCACGCGGAGCGACTGCAGGCTTCACGCAGAGCGCTTCAATGACGTCAGCATCGGTTTCTGGCTGCGCCATACTGTAATGGCTCTGTATCGTCACCGGCGCTGATGCATTTTTTTCTACAGCATTTGCGACGAGCTTCCTGTTTGCGGAGTGAAACACAGCTTTAAAATAAACTCAGGTCCACTTGGTGGACTGAGTCTATTTTTGGATTACAAACTCATTGTTCAGCATGTCATCTTTCGGTCCTTTATAGGTTTTTTACGCTGTGGATTTTAAAATTGAACGAATGTTATTGATTTTCTTTAGATATGATGAGCATCACGATTCTTCTCACCACATTTTACACAAACATTGTCTCATGGTCTACAAACTCTAATGATCGAAAACAGCCACCAAGGAAATCCTCATTTATCATCGCCCTGTTATCAACGGCATATGAATTGAAGAATCGTTGGCCCATCCATCGGCGCCTATTCTCGAGCTCTCCGGAGTCATTCTCTCTCCATTTGAGCCTCACGAACAGCTTGCACAACCGGTTGGGAAGCCTGACTGTCAATCCCGTCGGGCCCCGGCACCGCCGCCGTCAAGCTCCGGCAGAAGACGGCGGTTTTTTTTCCTCGTGATGCGGCGCCACTCCGCGGGTCCGTTTGCGGCTGCGGCGTCTGTGGCTTTGGACGCGGCGTCGGACGGGTTGAAGCCGAGCCGCCGGCTATCCCGTCAGTTGGACGGCCTGATTTTCAGTTTTCCTTTTGTAATCGCCGGCCGGCCGGGCGGCTGCCGCGGGAGCTGGCACGTGAAGAAGCGAATCGCCGCCCCGCCTGGCGCAGAGCGGAAAAGGGAAAATTACAAAACGGCGCCGTAAAAAGCGCAGTCGGCTGAGCAAAGTTGGCTGCCGCTGTATGCCGTTGATTTGAGAGCTGGGTGTTTGTTAGTTGGCGCCTTTGATCCGATGGTCGGCTGCGCAGATGCGGTTAGCGATGTTTTCGTGAGCTAGCGTGGCGTCAGGTGCAACTGCAAATAGAAATGGGCTCCCACACCACAAGGTGTAGTTTTTGTTGTCGCGCTCCCGTTAGACTTTTTGAAGGGCCTGTATCCTCCCTCGGATTAGATCATTTCGTTTTGTGATAAGTTCCGCATGCCTTTTTCTCCGGAACAGTTTAGCCAAAATCACGCAGGACAAAATGGCGCGATGCCCGTCAAGGTTGCTGCACATGCAACAAGGAGTGTCAAATTGCACTTTTGCATGGTGGACCTGGTCCCCATGTCGATGGACTCCCAATGCTGGATTTGCAAATAGCAAAGAAGCTAAATTACATTTGAACCGTTCTTTCATTGGGCATAATTTTCTGGCCATGACTATTATGCTGCCCTAAAAACAGGCTGATTAAAAATGATGCACAAGACAAACTTCAACGATAATTTATAAAAAGTACATGAAACAATAATAAAATGCACAGGACAAGACAACAATGAATACGCCTGCCATGCTTACGGACAAAAACGAGCTAGATCCATTTAGAAACACATATTTGAGGAAAAATATTTGTTCGCGTCTACAGTCGTACGTTGGGGTTAATCAAGGACAGAGCAAGGCTTTTTTACCCTGGATTTGATACATTACGCAATGCATACACTTCCCACCACTTCTGCTCAACACACGATAGTAATAGTGGTGTCTTTCAGCTGCCTTGGGCCCAGCATTGACCCGCGTCGGCGTGGACCCCAGTCCTCCGCCCCGCGCCCGGACGCGGCCGGAGCCGAGCCGATGTTTGTTCTCGGCTGAACGAGGCATTAATCATGGCTGATTAGCGGTGTCGAGCCGCCGTGGAGCACCGAAATTAACTGTGCACGCGAACCGCACAACAACAAAACTGTCCGGAGCGCCCGGGAGAGACGCCGCCCGAGCGCGGCGCCGGCTGCGCGGGCTCATCGCGCGCCTCTGTCGCCAGACGGAGTCGATCCTGCAGCGTTTTATGGTGCGCTTCGACTACCTGCAGCTGGACTGCAACGACCATCTGTACATCCACGATGGCGCTCATGCCATCGACGGCAAGTACAAGGTGAGTCGCTGAGGGAGGCATGCGCAGCCTCTGGGAGAGACTGTCTGGGAGAGACCTCCACTAGTGGTAGGTAGACGCCTCTGGGAGAGACTGTCTGGGAGAGACCTCCACTAGTGGTGGTAGACGCCTCTGGGAGAGACTGTCTGGGAGAGACCTCCACTAGTGGTAGGTAGACGCCTCTGGGAGAGACTGTCTGGGAGAGACCTCCACTAGTGGTAGGTAGACGCCTCTGGGAGAGGCCCCGAACGCCCTTCGAATGGCAGGAGCAGCGACCGTAGCCCTCTGCCAGGCTACGTCCCTGGCTAACACAATTAAAGGCACCATCCTGAGCTTAGGAACAGTCAAGAAATGATTGAAACGCTCTTCAATGCTTAAGCCGATATGTTCTCAGTTGAATTGATGCTTCCTGCCACAAGCATAAGGGCATTGTGGCACACGAAATGTCGGGTGAAGCCGAAAACATCCGAGAGCAGTACTAAGACATAGACGTTTCTAGGCGGGCCATAATACCCAAAACACCATGTGTGTTGCGATTTAATAGGCTAAGGTGACTACTCATGTGGTTCGCCCTGCCTAAGGTGCACATGTTAACGTGGTCTACCCTGCTGAAGGTGTATACGCTAACGTGATCCGCCCTGCCTAAGGTGCATATACTAACGTGGTCCGCCCTGCCTAAGGTGTATACGCTAACGTGGTCCGCCCTGCCTAAGGTGCACATACTTACGTGGTCTACCCTGCTTAAGGTGTATACGCTAACGTGATCCGCCTCGCCTAAGGCGCATATGATAACGTGGTCCGCCCTGCCTAAGGTGTATACGCTAACGTGGTCCGCCCTGCCTGAGGTGTATAGGCTAACGTGGTCCGCCCTGCCTAAGGTGTAAACGCTAACGTGGTCCGCAAGCCTTTCTGAGCTCAGCAACTCGGAAGATAGGTATTGTGTCGTAATTCTTTATCTCACCATGATTCTGGCCTTGAGTCCCAAATAGGTGAAGTAAAAGCTGACCAGGTCTTCTGATTAATCACAAACTAAGCGACTGCAGCTCAAACGTCGGCGGAGCGGGCCTTAGGTGCGTGGCTCAAACTGGGAAAACAAAATTTAAGATGATGAAAATAAGAGATGACAATTTTACTGCTGGGTTTGGTCTAATAAAGCATGTATATGCCTCCTGTACAGTCTTAACTATTTCCCACATGACGTTGATCGAACAACAGGACTAACTTTATATGAGAGGAAATCTATGATTCTGTGAGGTGTACGAAGCTCAGACAATGGATGCGAAAAGAAACACGAATAACCCTACAAATGTTTGCTTGGCATTTGACAATCACCATCAGCTTGCTTTGTGACAGCTAACGTACGTAAAATTCGCCTC